TGAACCATCATCCCTTGAGATATGGACAAGCAAAATGTTCTCATAGGCTACCTCGGAAGTCAAATACCGCCGCAAACAAAACACATTATACACCAATCACAAAACGTTGTCCCTTTCACCTCAACGTCACCCATTAAACACAGGGTCACCTCTAAATGGACATCACCTGGCAGGTACCTGCTCATGCCTGGACATGGCTCCGCTCGCTCCAATTCACATCACCAAAACCACTCCATCCTCGCGTCGCCACCTCCGCGGTACAAACAACTGGGACCTACCATGCGAAGAGGAATATTCTCACCGCACTCTTTGGTGCTTTCGGTAAAGTCACGTAGGTATAAAATAAAATAAATCACGACGTTTCGGGCGCAACACAAGCGTCCGTCATCAGGTGGGAAAGCACTTTACCGAAAGAACCAAAGAGTATGGATTCCTGCAGTCACGAAAGCTTCAAATCAACATTGAATATCTCACTATTCCGGAAAAGGGGAAATCCGCACGTACATGCATTGTCTTGAATTGTGCAGTGGTACTCTTCATGTTCCGGAAAAACTTCCAGATTTTTCCAGGACAGCTGCCTCAAAATTAAGATGATGCTGGGAAAACCAGGACAAGTTGCAACCCTACTCCACCCAATCGTCACAGAGCATCTCTGCCTTCCCCCCTTAGCACACAGCCTGCTACACCAACACTCGCGCAACACAGCAACCAACCAACACTACCATGACAGTCAACACGAGGAGCACTCGTGCCTTTATTGCTCATCATGTTGCGAATAATATACTATTATCATAATAGAATACGTTTTTTCGCTGGCTGGGTGGCGTCCCTGATGATTTCACTCTGCATGGTGACGCATCCTTGGAATCAAATGCTTATTAAAGTGGGGGTTGTGAATCACACAGCTTTTATCGTATTTCTAACCTGCTGGGCAATACAGGAGGCCAGGAGATGGGAGTACAGCAAATGGGTTCCAGATCCGTCATTCTGGATGTTTCAGTGTTATCCCCTTGTGCTTGTAGGTTTTCTCCGATACAAAGATAAATATCTCCCCGTACAGTCTGAACACTCATGCAAGTGTGTTGAGGACAAGTGCTGTTAGCGAGCGCCTATGAAGGCCGGCATGGCACACGAGGGGGTGGGTGGCCAGCACCACGCCCGGCAGCCTTTGTCTCCCTCGTGTTTACACACCATGCACCAGGTTCTCATTTGAAGCTGAGTCGACCAAGGGGAGGCCCAGGACTCATTCAGATAATATTCCCTTGTGTTGGCCATTGAGCATAAATCGAACTCAGGTTGCCGGGTTCGCAGCAGGATGCGCTAAAAGTACACAACCACTCCCCATGATTTGACCCACATCCAAACACGACCAAAATGAGGTCTCTACTGGGGAAACCTTGAATAAAACTCAGGACTACTTCATTATAATAATCATCATCATTACTTGAAATATGTTTCCCTAGAGGGACCTGATTTCTGTACAAGTTTAAGATGAGAAACGTGCCATGAAAGATGAAAGCACATTTTCTCTAACATCAAAGTCAGGAGACATGTGTACTTTGATCTCTATTTGTCAAGATTCTTCTGGAACAAAAGTGAACATGTAATGGTGATGGCCATAATGCTCCGGATAACTTGAATTACTGTACATTTCTTTGCAAAGCACAGCTTTATTTTGCCTTTGTGTAAATTTAATTGTATTAATATATAAATAATGACTCTCGTCTCAGGATTGTGAACTGTCTGCCACTGACTCGGGACCACCAAAGGAGATGAACACCACCAAATGCTGGTTTGAATATGGAGACACTTTGACCTTGAGCATATAAATATAGCGAGCCACCAGCACTGTGAGGGAACGCTCAACCTACAATTGGAAGGTTTTGAGTTACAATTCTGGTTAAAAATTCAAGAGTATATCCAAGAATGGGAGTGTGGAGTTGACACTCCTGGCTGAGGGCCACCCACAGATAGGTAACACCACATTCTCATTTGAGTAGGGAGACACTGACTTTTTGAGCACGGGCACCACAGTGACGAGATGTTAAATGCCTCGCCTGGTATACAGGAGGTCGTGGACTCGATCCCAACCCTAACGCCTGTGCATTGGGAGTTTGCATGTTCTCCCCGTGGCCCCGTGAGTGCGTGGATTTTCCTCCGGTTTTTCCCTCCACAGATGATGAGCCACTTCGTTGAGCTATCATTTGTGGCCAGGTCACTAATGAAAAATGTGTTTAGTTTAGTTTAGACCATGTATATGAAAGTATTTGGGTCTATCATTGTGCGTTGGTCTGTTTAGACTCATCAGAACGGTGTGAGGCTTTCAACATCACGCTATGTTCTGCCTCTCATCTCTGATTTCCATCTGTTGGCCACACCTAAGATGGGGAGCGGGCAGGTAAGTCATCATGGCCTTTACTAGAAAATAGGGCAATCTTGTATTGGTCTATACTCGGTGCTAATATGTACATGCTCCGCATAAGTGTGATATTTCACAATGATAACTTTAATTATGAAGAAGTATTTCATTGGTAGATATGTAATATTGTATTTGAAAATTATTTGCACCATCAAGACAATCATCACCATGAGCTGTGGTCAATCTCATTTTTTAATAAAAGTTGAAAACATTTTAGCGTAAGTAATTTTGGCTAATATATAAACCGAGTAAAGATCTCTCTTTTTTAAATACAGTGTGTTCTCCGTTCATGCACTTATAACTGCGATAATGAACGGTAAGCTTTACCAAGAAAATATTAACATCCGACTTGTAAATGAGTGTTCGCATTTACAAGCATCTCACCAAACCCAGCTTCTTTGTTTAAGCCGGTGCGTGCGTGCGTGCGTTAGACTGGGGAGCGGAGTTGTTACGCTTAGCGCGCTGCGCCATGAACCCGGCGACCCGAGTTCGATTCCCGCTCAGGGCCAACACCGGTGACGATTATCTGAAGCGGCTCTCGGCCTGCCCTCGGTCGACTCAGCCTCAAATGAGTACCTGGTGCGGAGTGTAAGCATCGCCACTGGAGAGACAAAGGCGGTCGGGCGTGGTGGTGGCCACCCACCCCCTCGTGTGCCATGCCGGCCTTCATAGGTGCTCACTAACAGCATTTGCCCCAACAGTCCGTTAAAGGTTATAAAGAGGATCGTTATCATTTTCTTTGTTAGACTGTTTACACTTTTGTGATTGCACTGTTCCTAAAGAAGCTCCCAGCACGTGGAGTGAAACGTCGGACATCGTGCTGAACAAGACGCGCTCAACCAGAAACACATCGGAGAACTTTGTGTTGGTATGCTCTGATAGGACAAGTAGTTTCATTTATAGAACGACTTCAGTAAATATGAATAAAACCAAAACTCCATGTGACTTTCTCAATTCAAGACAGTAATTGCAAGTGTGATCGGTGTCCCATGTGCTGCAAGCTCAATGGACATAATATATATTCAGTCGTCATGTTTAATGAACCAACGAAGAAATATATTTAATAATAACTGCACCGTTAAAGTATCGTGTTTCCATGATTCGGCACGTTCAAAGCCCTCTCCAAACACTGCACCCTCTTGCTCTGAGTGCAGATTAAGTGCAGCTAGCCTAATAAGGATTTATACAGAAATCTAAACTAAAACGATTACCAAGTGAGTGAATTAAGGGCAGGTAACATGAAATAACCTGTAATCTTGTCAAAGGTCATAAGTACTGTATATGTGTGGGCATTAGTCTTAGCAAGAGATTATGTTTGCAAAACGTGTTCATTGTGTTTTCATTTGTAACGAACTTAATGCAGGAATGATCTTGGCAAACCTGAATTACAGTTCAGGCCTGATCGCAAACTCCTCGGTTTATTGTCAACTATACAAACATGTTATTGTAGCTGTTAGCTATCAACGGTTTGTTTGTTCACTCAAAACATTCCAACGCATTTTGCAGGTGAAAAATAATGTTCACAAAAGCTTAGCAGTCCCATGGTTATCGGTTTCATTGCTTGAGTTTGAAAAATATATGCAGGTAACAGTCGTTGTTTGTAAGCTAGCCACTGTTTGTCTCTGTCTGGTGCAGCTCCATTCAAGCTGCATGAAACACGTCGAACATCAGTTCACTGAGCTTACCAACTGATTGAAATACTGACTCGATTTTAACAGCCGAGTTTTAATAAATTAGCAACTGCAAGTCGGTTTACATGCGCGAGGGTAACTGGAGCACCAGGAAAAAAAAAGCCACATGCGTGTTCACGTTCAACCTGAACAAACCCCCGATCCACACAAACGTTCATCGGATCCCGTTTACCGGCAGCACAATCTGAACGAATTGGCTGACTTGAGTTTTGAGTGTAATTATTACATATTAATGCGCAATTAATAATGTTAACAATCGCTAGTAGGTTTCTTCTTTACTGCCACGTATGCCGTAGTAGGATACGCGAGTCCCTGGTTGCGGTCAATTAAGAGGGTCTTTCTAAAGTTAATGATGATGCGTCGGGAATTTGAGTAATGCTTTTGCCCTTGCATCCTATGCACGAGCGGTTCCTAATGCCGGGTGGGTAGCTGTCCGTGGTGCTGAGAGCACACGCGAGCGGACTTAGCGACACGAAGCCGCTTACCCATTTCAGCCCTCTCAACTTGACAACAAACTTCACGAGTGCTCGTTTCTCCGGCTGATTAAATCCTAGGCGAATTCATATTAATCTGCACAAAATGTTATGCTAATAGGTGTCATCAAATTCACAGGGTACTCATTTTATGGACTAAACACAGCGTAGAGGGGCGGGGGGGGAGGCTGTGTCCATTGAGCCAAACAGTGACAGTCCACTTTTTTTTGTATTGTCGCATCATAGTTGTGCATCATCGATGGTAACTTAAACGCACCATCAACTGGCTCCATCAAGCGCAGTTGCCGAGTCAACTCGCCGCTTGCTCACCGTATCTGCATTGACCACGCGAGCGACGTGCGAGCAACTCGCATGGGACAGAGCGAGGGGAAGCTCTTCTGTCGATCGCTCTCTCACCTTGTCATCCTCAGCTGCCGTGACCCTGACGACCCGTCTGCGCACGATGTTGTTCTTCACCCAGCCCTCCACGTTCGCGTTGAACTTCATGAAGATCACGTAGCTGATGTAGCAGCACAGCAGCGTGACGCTCTCCCACCACATGATCTGGTTGTCCAGGAAGAAGATGATGAGCATGATGAGGTCGATGATGTAGAAACTCACGTCCCGAAATAGTGGCCACCACGTGAGGCGGAGGATCTCCTTGGAGAAGACGGCGCACATGCCGATGACGAACAGGATGTTGAAGACGGCTGAGCCCACGATGGTGCCGATACCCACGTTGCTGTGCGAGATGAAGACCCCGATGAGCGACGTGAAGAGCTCGGGCGCCGAACCGCCCGCGGCCATGAACGTCGCTCCCGCCACGTCTTCGGAGATGCGCAGCTTCTCCGTGATGACCGTGAGCGCCGGCACAAAGAACTCGTCGCACACGATGGCCAGCGAGATGAACATGTACATCATGCCCATGATGTGGAATGCCACGGCACCCTGGCGTCGCTCCGCCAGCGAGAAGAGGTCCTGCGGGTAGTCCCCCTGCGGTTCGTAGGCGACGGCCGACGCGTTGTCTGCCGCTCGCCTCTCGGCTCGCCCACCCAGGTTCGCGCTCGCGTTGCCCGCGGACGCGTTCCTCCACCGCCGCCCCCCGTCCGTCTCGTTGTTGCCGACCCCCTCCTCTTGTAGAGCCCTCCTCGTTCTGAAAGATGCGGACGGCGTCCGGACGATGGCCGCGTCCGGCGCCTGCTCGTCATCCGTCCTCGGCGTGCCGTCCTCCGGCGAGGAGAGCAGCAGGCAGGCGCAGGTGGTCACGGTGGCCAGGAAGAGGATGCGGTCACAGCGGAACCTTTTCTTTCTCTTGCGAGGGTGCATGGCGACGGAGCGGCTCTGCCAGGGGTCTCTGCCCGACGTCTCCGAGTCCTGCCGGTGCTGATGCGTCATCGTTGCGGCGTCCCCCGCTAATGTTGGAGGAGGCGCGAGGCTACACAGGTGATGGCTGTCGTGTGACTGCTGCTGTTGTTGTTCTTGTTGTTCTTGTTCTTGTTGTTGTTCTTGTTGTTGTTCTTGTTGTTGTTGTTCTTGTTGTTGTTGTTCTTGTTGTTGTTCTTGTTCCTCCAGAGACGCCTTGGCCCGCGCAGCATCGTCAGCGGTGAGAGCGATCTCCGCCAGCAGTTCTGGGAAGATCAAAGCGGTCTCACGTGAGTGTCCTTTACTCCTGCCACCCGTTACAGCGCCCACTGCGTGTGCCAAGCTCCGCACAGATAGTCGACCAATACTATTTAGTTGTGGGACGGTTGTCAATTTGGGCTGTAATGCCGGCACACGATGGTCTCCTCTCGTGAACGATACTACAGGGTTTTTTAACTTTGACTTTACAGCAGACGGCGAGGTTTAACAGTAAATCACCACAAATATATACATCGCTGTATTGTACCCATGCTGCGGGTAGCAGGGTGCGGGGTTTGAACCGTCACGTCCGTGTGGATTGGCTCCCGAGCGATCTGTCCGATGTTTGTACCGTCTCAATACCCATAAAGCGACGATTGTGATGATCTCGTCATTGTTATCACCTTTTTTTTGTTACCCAGGAAAGCCTCACAGATTCTCATGAAACTTTTCCTGCCAAGTTTTTTTTTATTTTGCAGTCGGTGACAGTGATTGCTGTGCGCAGTATATTTCAAACGAGTAATGTCATTGTGGGTAATTATTTTTTCTTTACGTGGGACATGACGCCAAAATACAATGGCCTACTCTCGCGGGAATCTCGAACGTCCTCCCCGAAGCAGACAGGGCCTATTTTATTATGCTCAATGAGATAAGTGTTAATCAGGCCGACCGCTGGATTTGAACCGCGAATCGCTGGCTACAAATAATCATTCGCGTCATTGTGAGGAATATAAATAGCCAAATAAATGAGCAGAAAATGTGTCCTTCACATGTCTGTCCACGTGAAATAAGTACGCACGTTACTACACGACATAGGACCCATACCGTAAAGAGAGGAAGGATCCTTACATGTAAGATGGGCAGTGTCTCGTCTGCTGCTGATGAGACACCGTATGTCGAAACCGGTCCAGAGATTATTCTTTGGGTCTTTCGCTAAAAGTCACGTAGATAGGTTCAAAGAAAATAACAAAAAACTATGAAGTTTCGATCACAACATAAGCGGTCGTCATCAGGAGGAAAGAGATGACGATCGCTTGTGTTGTGATTGAAGCGTCGTAGTTTTTTGTTATATTTTGTTATTTTCTTTGAACCTATCTATGCGACTTTACCGAAAGAATATGAATTCCTGCAGTCACGAAAGCCATAAGTCAAGATTTTTTTGGTCCAGAGATTCTCTCGTATTGAAATCAATGCTGCAAAAACGAGCCCGTGCGGCTGACGGATTGTGTAACTTTTATCACGTTTTGCGGAGAGACTACTTATTTTGTTAACCCCGCTAGCGATGCTGGTTGTAGATTGCACACCGCCAGGGATACTTGTGATTACCTCGTGTGGACTATCTCGGGTTATCATGAGAACGACAATCTGCCAATATCCTCTGCAGATGCGTGCATCGTGCATTATTTTCACGTGAAGTGACGGACAGTAATGTTTATACAAACGTGAGTGTGTGTTTGTTCATACGCCAGGAGGTTTTAAACACAGTATTTACAAAATGTGTTTTTTTTTTTACAATGACATATTATACAGGGTGCTTAACATTTTTTTTAACACTTCTGAGAATTTGCAACAACACCACAAGAAACGTGCTGCTGCCTCTGGAGACCACCTGGAGATGATTCCGGGCACGTGTTGACAACGATGGCGAACAAGTGGTGACACGTGTTGACAACGATGGCGAACAAGTGGTGACACGTGTTGACAACGATGGCGAACAAGTGGTGACACGTGTTGACAACGATGGCGAACAAGTGGTGACACGTGTTGACACCGATGGCGAACAAGTGGTGACACGTGTTGACAACGATGGCGAACACGTGGTGACACGTGTTGACAACGATGGCGAACAAGTGGTGACACGTGTTGACAACGATGGCGAACAAGTGGTGACACGTGTTGACAACGATGGCGAACACGTGGTGACACGTGTTGACAACGATGGCGAACACGTGGTGACACGTGTTGACAACGATGGCGAACACGTGGTGACACGTGTTGACAACGATGGCGAACACGTGGTGACACGTGTTGACAACGATGGCGAACACGTGGTGACACGTGTTGACAACGATGGCGAACACGTGGTGACACGTGTTGACAACGATGGCGAACACGTGGTGACACGTGTTCACAACGATGGCGAACACGTGGTGACACGTGTTGACAACGATGGCGAACACGTGGTGACACGTGTTGACAACGATGGCGAACACGTGGTGACACGTGTTCACAACGATGGCGAACACGTGGTGACACGTGTTGACAACGATGGCGAACAAGTGGTGACACGTGTTGACAACGATGGCGAACACGTGGTGACACGTGTTGACAACGATGGCGAACACGTGGTGACACGTGTTCACAACGATGGCGAACACGTGGTGACACGTGTTGACAACGATGGCGAACACGTGGTGACACGTGTTGACAACGATGTCGAACAGGTGGTGACACGTGTTGACAACGATGGCGAACACGTGGTGACACGTGTTGACAACGATGGCGAACAGGTGGTGACACGTGTTGACAACGATGGCGAACACGTGGTGACACGTGTTGACAACGATGGCGAACACGTGGTGACACGTGTTGACAACGATGGCGAACACGTGGTGACACGTGTTAACAACGATGGCGAACAAGTGGTGACACGTGTTGACAACGATGGCGAACACGTGGTGACACGTGTTGACAACGATGGCGAACACGTGGTGACACGTGTTGACAACGATGGCGAACACGTGGTGATACGAAGAAAGCACAGAGAAGCAGGAAGACAGCCACGCGACAGCCGGCACAAACAATTGCCCAAGCTCTACGGTCCTCTCTACATTACGGTGTTATTGGACAATTAATTAGTGTTTACATGTGGGACGAAACGGGAGGACCTGCAGAAAACCCACTCATAGCAAGGCGGGATACGATGGATTTTCACAACATTTGTGCAATCCACCAACTCTCGCTGCATTACCGGCGTGCATAGCCACCACCGCCCGGCCTCTCTATGTGCTCTGAAAAAGGGCCATTGCCTGAAACGTCGCTTATTATTATATCCTTCTTTGTCTTTAAGGCCACAGTATTGTCGACGAATGTCTTGAGTTGTTTCGCTATTTGTACCTGTACACCACTCCCAACGCAGCAAAATAACCAAACAGTTCGTTTAATATAAACGCAGCAGTCCTATTTGCTCGGCTTGAGAGAAGGGAAACGCTAACTCAAGAGACGAGACGGCGCGCAACGGACTGGGAAACACACCTCGTGTGTCGAGGACCTGCGAGCTCACACAACAACGCGTAGCTCAGTTTTCTCCATTGCAAGCCCCACACGGGGTCACTGACGGTGACCTTTAGTGAGGCCCCTGACGTGCGGCTCCCGACAATACCCAACTACGTGACAACACCCCCCCCCCCCCATCGTCGTGCTGTCAAAGCCGACAACGGTTTCAAGGGTGTGTGTGGCGGCCTTCACGCTGATGTCTTATCGGCGAAAGTGGCGCCACCGAAGAAAATGAGTGAAGAACACCGATGTGTGTAACACGTATTCTTCCGCGACCGATGTCATCCATAACGGAGGGTTTTCTTTGGGTTAGGTCGCGTAAAATGTGTCGTTAAACCCGCCGCCACCCGACACAGCCAATTAGTAAGGTTTGTCGCGTAAACAAAACGCGTCAGTTCGTTACCAGTTCAGCACACCGGTGCGTTGGAGAGAAAACCCACAGCATTTACAATTCGAGTCCGACGTTTCGCCGGTAATGAAAACCAACCTCATCAGGCGAGAGCCAGAGAGGGGTGATTGTGATGTCGTCATTTGTGAGCCAATCACGTGGGAAGACCAGACGGGGGTTAATCTATTCATATCAATTACAATGGATATCCAGTCTTGGTTGGCTTATTCACAGACAAACCTTACTAATTGGCTGTGTCGGGTGGTGGCGGGTTTAACGACACATTTATATTTACACGATTAAGGGTTGTTCCAGGCCCTGCTCTTCCCATCTCTGACGATTCGCTCAGCATGCTGGGACCTTTTACGGCACGTGCAGCGAAACGTCGGACATCATGGTGATGAACAGCAGGCGGTAATAATCTGTACGGCACAATAGTAACAACAAAAAAAACCTAAGCTGCAGTAGGTGAACGTCTGGCTCAATGTTAACGCCGACGCCGATTCGGTGGAGCAGACTTGCTGCCACCGAAAGGGTTAACACAGCGATGATTATGCTGCAACTAAAACCTCCAAAACAACGACTCGAATGCGTTTCTCTGACTACTGTGGGGGTGGGGGGGGAGGTTCACGCGACGAGACGGACGCTGTGATACGTGAAGGTGAGAGGCGACGATGACTTAACAACGATAGCAGCGATTCGCAAAGACAAAGATCCCCCGTATAGCCTGAAACAGACTGTAGGGGCAAGTGCTGTTAGCGAGCACCTATGAAGGCCGGAACGGCACACGAGGGGGTGGGTGGCCAGCACCACGCCCGACCGCCTTTGTCTCCCTAGTGGCGATGTTTACACACCGCGCCAGGTACTCATTTGAGGCTGAGTCGACCTAGGGGAGGCCCAGGACCGGTTCAGATAATCGTCACCGGTGTTGGCGGTGAGCGGGATTTGAACTCAGGTCGCCGGGTTTATAGCGCAGCGCGCTAACCGCTCCACCACCGCTCCCCACTAGCGCTTCGCACACGCGCACACGCAGCTGTGTAGCGCTGTGGATGGAGCTAAACTAAACGCAGCTGTGTAGCGCTGTGGATGGAGCGTTCGGACTCACGGTTTGAAGGGTTTTGAGTTCAAATCCCGGTGGTGAAGTCTGCTCAACTCGTGCCAATAATATAAAGATAGAACTAATACTTACACAGCGTTGTGTCCGCCCACCTGCAAACTACAGCACAATCGTACTAGGACGTGGTGAAGAGCGTGGCACGCTCTCGATTGGCTTCAGCTTCACGGAGGAAATGTACTCGGTTCACTGATGATAACGATGGACATCGGTGTTTATTTTTTTTATATATATAAAAGCGTTTAACGCGAGACTAAATCAATCATGACTGTCGCCTGACCTGGTCCGATAAGTGAAACCAATCAACATTCACGGGCTGTCATTTTTTGAGATCCCTCAATCGAACAATTCGTTCCCCCCCCCCCCCCCCATATTTGTCTCCACATAATTGTAAACTCGACAGTATTGATGCCAAATGTAAGCTCTCTACCGCGTCTACAAAATAGCACATCATCAGTTCGACCGTGGCCAAGCAGGCCAAACTATGAACCAAATAGTAACCCACGATCACCTGCACTCCTTCAATGGATGAGGAATAACACAACGACACGAACGAACTCTCCCCTTGAAGCCCTCTCGCGGCTAGCAGACCTCGACACTGCTACTTAGCTCCTGGACATATCACCATCGCACCGCAGTAAGACGAAGAATCCGATTGATGAGTCACTCAGCAACGATGCATCTCTATCGTGTAATGAATAAGAAAGAGTTCGTACCACGGATCACCCAGCGCTCGTACACATTCAACAGTACTTTCCCATTACAAAGGCAAATTTGATTACCAATTAATTTTCAATTTCAGCATCGCGTTCACGGCGCAGGCGATTATTACGCAACGAGATGCCGTGGCTTCTGTGTGCCCCGTGTCAGCCAAAATCAGCACCACAGAAACCACCCCCCCGCCCCCCAAGATAGAACGTCTGGGCTACCCTACCGTGCCCCACACGTAGTTGTCAGGTATTTACCCGGCCTTACGCATCAGCGTCTCCGCAGCCGGAGTTCGCCCAGGTGTGCTGCTGCTGCTGCTGCTGGGTCCAGGCGGAGTCCCGGGCGGTTGGCAGCTGTGACACTGTGCTGGGCTGCGAATCCCACGGGAGTCCGGGCAGACTGAATAGCGCCAACGCGAGGAGTGCTAAGAGCCGGGGCTGGTGGAGGTGGTGGGGGGGAGAGAGAGAGGGAGGGAGGGAATGAGGGAGGGGAGAGAGAGAGAGAGAGAGGATGGAGGGGGGACAGACACGAAGGTGCAGTGGAGGAGCTTGCGAAAGGAGATTATACGAATGTGTAACCCGATGGATTGATTATAGAGAGAGCCGACCAATACGAGGTAAGCAGTGGAGATGGGATGGGTGTGGTCTGGTATAGTCATCTGTAGTATTTGTATACGAGTATAAATATAGCGCCCGCAAGCTGAGAGCCTTTCGCAAGGCATGTGTGTTTGTGTGTTCGTGTGTGTCGACTCGTCATTAAATTAGTACCTGGTGCGGTGCGTAAATATAAGTACTGGGCAGACAAAGGCATCCGGGTGTGGTGCTGGCCCACCCACCACCCCCCATCATGTGCAGTGCCAACCGTAATAGGTGCTCACTAACAGCACTTGCCCCAACATTCCGTATGGCCATATGGGAGATGTTCATCTTAGTGGTCACGTGCTCTGGCGTGGGACCCTCTGAAATGGCATGCATTGCGTAACACTTTAATATGTGGATCACATTACGGACACAAGCGTAGATGCGCGTGGGTAAAGGAAGGTACGAGACAGCTTTGTAGATAAATAACACGTCGTCTAGATGAATGTATATCGCTATTACAAGAGAAATTTGGAATGCATTGTGCACGCAGATAACAGGATACAAAATTGGGCACACGATGCATACAATGTAGAGATTGTATATTTACACCAGGTATGCATTGTGTTCACGGCTGACTTGTCGTGCAGTTTTGAGAAGGGGGTAGAGTACTTAAAATGTAAGAGCAATCCAATGTCAGGTTCATTTTGAAACTCTCCCGATGGATAGACCGGTTCCTGTCAGAGGAACGTGGGCTTGTAATCCTTGCTGACAGCCACAAATGCTCATTAGTTGAAGTCTCTTCGACTTGATCTGGCCTAAACACCACTTTGTAAAAACCCACCGTTCAATGTCATACATATAGGTTCTCATCAGAGGAATGTGACATTTTCAGTATTGACTTGGAGGCACCTCTGCAGAGCAGGCCGCTTATTACCAGAAAACTGTGAATTTAATTCAAAATTAGGTGTCGACTCAACCAATCATCCGTCCATCCATCCATCCATGTGTGTTAAAATAGCTACAATTTTGTGGGAAGTAAACAATGGCATTCCATTAGAGGCACTCGCTCAGGGGGTCCGGCATGCGGCTCTATAAGGACCGCTTCGTGACGACCCTCTCGCATTCACGTACATTGCGGCTCTTGAAATAGCGAGGTTGTTATAACCGAATTTCAAGAACAAAAATGTCTCATCTCGTTCTTTTGGTTGCCGACCCCTGCACGAGCCCTCGCCATAGAAATGTGGATTTTCCACTCGTGGCTAAGGACTGCCAATGAAGAGGAGCACCGTTCGCGTGAGCGTGGCCACATTCTCACGCTCAAAAGGGTGGTTATTGTTATTGTCCAATGATCGTTTGACTTCTGGCTTTATTCACATAGGAACACCACAAGTGCGTGCCGGAATATTATTCATATTTCTTTCGTGGCACTCTAACGTGAAGAAAACTCACGGTGTGAACTCACACTGCTTGTAACTTTCTGACCCGCCTCTACTAAATATCTGTGAAAACGATCACTTATTTGACTAACTATTTGAATCTTACCAGCTAAAGCCCACTGAGCTATATGGACATTTTTCAGAAGATACCTGGCCTCAAATGATAGCTCAACGAAGTGGCTTATCCATCATCTGGAAATGTATCGCAGCCAAGTAATCCAAACGCATGTTTCTAGATGTGGTGGGAAAAACCGGAGGACCCGGAAAAAAACACCCACGCGACCACGGTGAGAACACGCAGACTCCAAATACACAGCAGGCGCCAGGGTCGGGATCGAACTGACGGCCTCCTGTATCCCAGGCGAGGAAGATGACATGTCGCCACCGTGGCGCCTCCCCCCCCCCCCCAAAGGGATTTTTAGCTCATCAGATTCCTCCAGTATAAATAACGATACTGATTCCATAAAAGCACTGCAGAGGGGGTTGGTCGTGTGTGTGTTGGGGGGTGGGTAAGATCTTATTTCTTCTTCTTCTTCGAGAGAGAGAGAGTTTTCCAAACAACCAGGTGCAACCGTCAATAGTACCCCCAGTGTTTACCACAGCCTCCTCACTCTCACGCTGCCCCCGTCTCTCAGCCTCCATCCCCGTGGAACAACTTTGTTGTCAACAATGGGATGTGACTCTCAATTTCAATATTATGAGGTGTGAATTGCGAGTGTTGCGTGACCCGAATTCAGCAGATGAAAGAGATGCTGCCATTTCCAAATGTCGTAGTCATAGCCATTGGTTATCTGCCCAAGCAAAAATAAGTGGAAGGAGGTCCTCAAATTTGTTCACAGCTCCGAACCAGTGATGGAAATTACACTTCCTTATCGTGGATACGGGCCTATCCATAAGATGACAGTGTGTGCATTGAGTGCCACTGCTTTCCCGACAATGTGATACCCACAACGTCTTATTCATGTTGTCAACTCCAGAGGAGTTGTAGTGTTGTCAAGCCCCAACCAAGAATTTTAACTCACAACCTTCCCATTGTGAGACGCACACCCTGACCGTCGCTCTGCCTGGCCAGGGTGTGGTTGTATTGCATTGCACATCTCTCGCCCAGTGGGGTATGGTTCAAACTACTGGGGTAACGCTTCGTGAGATGTTATCTTCCACGACTGATATGCAGGAGGTAGTGGGTTCGATCCCGACCCTGATGACTGTTGTATGTTTTGAGTTTGTGTGTTCTATCTCCCCGTGGTGGTCGCATGGATTTTTCTCTGGGTCCTCCGGTTTTTGTCCTCCACGTTTAGATTACTTGGCTGCGACTATACATTTCCACATCTGTTGATAAGCCACTTAGATGAGCTATCACGTGTGGCCATATCGCCTCTGAAAAATAGCTAATAGCTCAGTGAGCTTTACGTGGTAAGATTAAACAGTTTAGTTTACAGAGTCATCCATGTAAAGATACCACAACGATTTATAACTGGTGATTGAATATGGCATTGTGAACCACCACATCCCAAGACCGTTGTCAGTGGCGGCAGTCACAGGACATTGCAGAGTGGGAATGTGAAAACCAACAAGAGCAACTAAAATAATTTACATGAAACCCACACCTGGATTGAGTCATCACAAAGTGCTCAACAATCAATCTGTAATTGATAGGTCCTGTAAACAATATATCAAGAGATTGATAGGCCCTAAATATTCCTCAGACCCAAAACACACACTCCCAGACGTTTGTTCAACTTCCTACAGTTACATATATGCAATACTTTTGGCATCACATACAAAAGCTGAGAAATATGGCATCATCCCTAAACCCAGCCAGCCCCTATAATATGGCCACACTCCTCAATAAAAAATGATGGTTGTGGAGCCGAATGGCACTCTTGTGACTCGATGATTCTACCGCTTCGATGATTTCACCACCATTCCAAGGAAAGCAGAAGCACTTCGAATATTCCAAAACACTGCTTCCACAGTTATCTAGAAATTTCAAGTGTGATATTCTCCCCCGCCAATGCAATGTGCAACATCCCACACTTAACCTTCACATGGATAATTGGACCCCACAACAATAATTCTAGGTCACTTTTTACTCCTTAGCAATCACAAACTACCAACGAAATCCACAAACAGCCTCTCTTGGAGAAAACCTATTTCCAGACCAATCTCCAAAGATGCCGGATCTGAAATGAGGTAGCCTCTTTAACTGGAATTACCCCTGTGTCATAAATGCTCACCTCAATTTTTTTTTCTAAAGCAAACCAACATACTGGGAAAAAAAATCCTCAAGTCAACCAATGTGCTACAGACACGACCGACCTTGCAACACGCATAATGTTAATGTCGTAAGAATCAGACCCTTTATAATACTGTCGTTTAATTATTAAATGAGGCCCGCACAACCACAGTCACCACAACACCTACAGCCTGGCTCCGAGACCACACATCTAATATTGTCATCACGAAACACCAACGCATTCTGTTTCTAGATCTATCGCACCAAAGGCAGGCTCACGATTCTTCATGACTCGAAAGGACATAGGAAACGAAGTGTCCACACGTGGCTCAGTCATGTGTATGACTTTACCTCTCTCTTGAACATCTACGCTTCACCACCCAAGATTAAATATTAACATTCAAAGGCACTTGGGATCCTTTCATCTCACACCCTTTTGAACACCTCCCCCACCCACACTCTGACTCGTATATACAAGACGAACAGGAAAATGACTCCCACCCACACTTCTGACTACTAGAGCCACCTTGAATGCCTTCTCCCACATCACCCACCCATGCACTCAGTGAACAATGCAGCACCTTAGCCACATACAGAAGAGTAACCATTCCTCTAACATCTCCTTCCCTCCACTCTGCCCCTCACCCAACCTTCCACACGATGCGTGAAATAAATCTACTCTTACCCATTTTGCTCTTCTTGTTCAAATGTATGTATGTTGAACTTATTTCGCACCATACGTAGCCAACCGTGCTAATCGTAGGTGCGGGGGAACGACAACAAACGAAACACAAAAGCAGTTCTATGGAAATTCGTTTTCTGTCTATATTTAAACTTGCAAAGTTCCAGTGACCTCCTAATATCAGAAGGAAGAGCGTTCCAGAGGGATGCAGAAGCGCATCAGAAAGCACGCGATGTAGTGACCGTATTTGTTCGATTGGTAACCAAACATCGCTGCGAGGATGACCGGTGTTTGTTTTAGATCAGCAAGGTGCTGTGGTTCATTTGTGGCAAAGCGCTTTTTACTCAAGTTGTTTTTATTTAACCGGGAAATAAAACGAACTCAGCGCATTCAAGAGATATATCTGCAATGAAGAAGAGCCATTGCCCGACACCTCACCTGTTATGTGAATGTTTTCCTCATCAGGCATGTTGAGATGTTGTTTACCAACAAAATCTGTCACAGTTCATCCCCCTGTGGTTGAGTG